GTTAACCAGTGCATGGGTTGGTATTTTGCCTTCTTGTATTGCATTCCCTCTCAGCTTTTTTTTGTGCATATTTGGATAGATATATAAATACATATCTTTATTTTCTTTAACTCTTAAAACGGCTTGTCAGAGCATGCAGTTTAAGTCAGACCAATGTGATTTATTCTCATTTTTAGCATTCACTATTATTTAGTTACACAAGATACTTAGCTACAGCTACCTTAACATCTGAATTCTGTCCTGGGTCTCCTCCGACTTGTTGGGTGATTTAATACTGTCAMTTCTGTGCCTCACTTTCTTTATTTTTAAAATAAAAAATAATGATGCCAACTGCCTTTGTTTAAGTGGTTTGTGTTTTTCAGCTATAAACCGCAGTAGGAGAGTTACAAGGTCATYGTAGCAGTATTAAGTACATTCTCATTAAATATTTCCTAAGATCAAAAGCTGCTATTTAAAAAGAAAAGTAGTATTAAAATATTATGGTGTGTATATTTTTGAGCAAAGTGCAGCTGTTTTATGAAGGAATTGTGTTTAATATTGCAGACCAAAACTCGATGGGCAGATGTTTGCCCAGTACTTTTGTTTTAATAAAATATTTTAATATTGGTCTCAACAACTGTCCTAATTGATCTGAAGCTTTGGAGCATCGTATGAATGTGAAAATGTGTGAAAGTACAATAGACATGGAGAACTTTCGCTGAGATAAAGTTGTCAGAATGTTTACATAAAAGGCCATCTGCAATCATTCAAGTCAACCTTGAATAGGGAGACACTCAGACTTATATTTCAGTAGTTGGACAAAATTTATTAACTTAGTGTAGCTGGCGTAGCGTAAAAATAACTTCACAGTCCCTGGTGTGGAGTGATGCATCTGAGCTCCTTGTCTGGCCGGGCGGTTCAAGATGAAATACAGGACACTTTCCCCTTGGATAAGTTGTTTTGCAAGACAGTCGCCTGGGCTTGCTGGACATCCYGAAAAGGGACAAGATGGTTGTGTGTTTGATTTTCATACTGGCAGCAAGCAGGAGGGCACGGAGCTCTCCCTCTCCCTTAGTGGTCTCAGACTAAAATTAAGCAGTTAGACGCTTCCACGTTCAGTGATTTCCAGCACAGCTGCTGCAGGTCAGTCTRGCAGGGAGAGCTAAGTACCTGTGCACGGAGCTCTTCAGTTGTGCCCTGTGTCACAGGGCTGCATTTTTGCAGTGTGCTGTGCTCGAACTGGCCTTAAAACCTGTATTTTAGTGAGAACATTATTTCTTCTTTCTCCTGCCCTTTAAAATTACAGGATTCTAGATTCATGGTGCTAACTTGACCTGTATCAGCACCTGCTTATCATTCACACGGTCTGCTACGTTTGGAGTCAGGAGGTCAATGCTGTGGTGCAGTTTGTATAGCAAGTGGTATTATGTTTTCTTTAGTTACTTAGTTACTAAAAGTAAGCAAAACTTGTCAGAATTAATTTCTGTGGAGGTCATTCCGTTTGTTCGTATTTGTGATCCCTTCCTCCTCAAGAGAATCTGTGTTAGCTCTAACTCAAAAGTTTGTTTTGTAGAGGAATGTCTAAAATGTTTTCCTGCAAGATTTTAGTGATGTGGCTGTAGAGACGGGCCTGGATGCACTCGGAGCCGCGTTGAGAGGTGCCAGGGTGCTCCTTGCTGGCTGCAGAGAGAAAAATTCACCTTCTGCTCATGGATATGGAGGCTGCTTGTCTGCCTCCAGTGCCCCCCAGCACGTCGTGCTGTGGGGTTTCAGGAACTGGAGCCCTGATTGCACTGTCACTGTTGACCTAGATGTTTTTGCCTGAAACAGTGCAACTGGTACCAAAGTTTGCTCTCCTGTGAATAGGTGGTCCTTAGGCCTCTTTTCTCTGAACACTTGCACCTCCCTTTCCTTCCCAAGGCCGCAGTTCAGTGGTCTCCCTCCTCCCTCACCATCCTGCCCATCTGCCTTCCCTGTTTGCCGGCTGTCCCACCCTTACTAACTTGGCACCCTGATGAAGGGGATGTCAGCGGCTGAGCCGCAGCTCCTGGCCCTGCTCCTGCCCAGCCTCTCGGGATACGTGTCCTTGTCCCGGCACGGAAGGGGAAGTGCCCTTGTCCCAAGGGGCTTCGGAGAGCTCCAGCACCGTCCCTGCAGCTGGTGGGACAGGAGCCACCCGGCCAGGTGGCCACGGCTTGGAGGGAGTCTTCTAATGCCGAAGGATCACCAGGCTTGGGTTTGATCCCCGTTTCTCAGACCTTAGCTAAGAAGATGTAGCCGATACTCTGGCAAGAATGCAGATGTGGAAACGAAACCTCGTTTGCTATGGGAGCTACGGGAGGGGCTTTTGCTGAAATATAAAGTTAATTAAGAGAGGAAAAGGGGAGGGGAGAAAGGAAAGTTCACCACAGTCCTAATGAAACCCAGGAAATCTGAATGAGGTGTCTTGACAGAGACAAATGGCAATTAGTTTTTGTTCTACTTAAACATACGAGTGCTGCCAACTTACAGTTTGGTTCTCATACTGCTGTGATCTTCTTTGAAACCCAAGGGAATTCTTGCTTCTTAGCATGAAAACTGGAGCCCTCAAGGAGAGGGGCCCAATACTGAGAGTATCTTCTTGTGACTGTTTGCTTGTTTGCTCTGAAGACAGAACTTGCACAGAGAACTTGATATAGGTAGTTACATTTTTCTGTGAATTGTATGTCTGCAGATTGCTTGGCAGGAGGCCGGAATTACCTGGCAGCCAGACTCAAAGGCCAACAGCCTAATTCCTGCTCTCACTTCTTGCACCGCTGGCGGGGGTTGTTTTTGCAGACTTAACTTATCAATGACACCAAACAACTGGAAACCATTTTTCTCTCCTCTGCTTACTTGAGAATTTTACAGAGTCCTGGTGGTGACTGCAAAAGAAAGTTCAGTTCAAAGCACAATGACTATTTTGAGCATCTTAATTTTAACTTTTTTTTTTTTCAGTAAGCGAGAAACTAAATTGAGTAACTAGCTGCATGTGCTACAGTAACTTTTTTTTTTTCTTTTTCAAGACTCTGTTGCAAATGTGGGATTTCTTGTTGATTGTGCCTGCAGGCTGACTTTATTCCTCACTCTTTGGGAGGTCTCCCTGACTCCCACTTGTCATATCACACATACATTAAACCTTTCATTAAGCATCGCTGACAACAGGCAGGATCTCTTAAAGATGCAGGATTCCCTTATTTGGCAGCCAAGCATTTTATAAAAGCTGACGATCCCAACACATGCGATATCAATCTCCTGTTACCTTCTGCTTCCATTTKCTGGACTCCTCCAGATCCTGCTGCACGACGCTCTTCCACGCTGGGGTGCATCGCGGTTTCACTCTATGCTTGACATCAGCTTTGCCTTAAATTGCAGGTTCATTTTTAAAGTTTAGTGCTGACATTTAAAGCCATCAGATGACAAGGACCCGTCTCGGCATTGGGGTCCCTCGCAGTGGGTGTTCCAGCCTGACACCAGGCCTGATTTATCTGCGTGTCCTTCTCGCTTGCCATCGCCCCGTCACGTCCTTCAGGCTTCCCTCCTCTCCTCTTTGGGGCTGCTTCTGTCATTTGAATTCAAGTGCTTTTCTTTTATATTCAATGAATTCATAACCTTTTGTGTTAGCTTTCACATTTTTTTTATGATGTATTGTATGTTTTGAGGCCTGTATTGTATGTTTTGGAGGATGCATTGTGTGTTTTGAGGCACTGCTTTTTGGAAAGTGTTGAATAGTGTGACAAGCACTCTGACTTTATTTAAATTCGTTATTAAATTCAGGCTGCTGCCTGCTTATTTACATACTATAAAGTAAATATCATAGTGCAGATTGCTTTGGGAACTAACTCTGGATTCTTTGAATTATAAAAGTACTGTAATTCTCTAGAACTTTGTGCAAGACCTTCCCCTAAGCAGAATTTCTTCTTTTGAATTCATTTCATTGCAAAATAAGAAGTTTTAAATGAGAAGACAACTGCCTATTACTGTTTCCATCTGCAGTGTAATTCCCAACTTTATATTGCATTCATCCTTTTACTTTTCAATTCTGAAGTTTTGTAATAGAAGTACTGTAGAATAGATACTTTATCCAGAGTATCAAAACAAAAATCTCACTGCATTAATTTTTGCTCAGATTTTAATGCAAATTTAAAGGGAAGTCCCTCCTAAATTAGATATTAGTGTATTGACTTTAGGTACGTAAAGATTCCTAGACCATAAGAACAATATATTTCCTATTGGCTACTCATAGTTCTTACAAAGCTGACAAGATGCTGACAACTGTGTTTTCTGTCGGAAATCCTGCATAGGATTTTCTCCATAATCTTGTAGTCCTAAAACTTCAAAAGTAAGAGATTTAAAGAAGGAAGAGATATTATGAAGTTTGCATAAAATGTTAAGAGCTCTCAGCTCTGAGGCTGCCAACCCTAGCGAAATTCAAAGAAAATGCACCCTATTTTACCCAATCTGGGGTAAATCTTGATCTACCAGGAGCCATCATCCCATTCACCTGGAAAACAGTTTGTTTTGGGTAGAACACAAACCTAAAGAGAAGTAGGAGTCAAGCAATATGTTTTACTCTTTGTCAAGGGTCATCTGACTCAATTATTGTGTAATATTATCATTGGCTGAAAATCTAGGGAAAGGTGTGATGTGTATTTGGTTACATGCACAATTTTTGTGAAAACAGACATTTTTCTTGGCAAAAAAAAAATGTAACAAGCAAAATTAAGTTGTATGCATTCTGTACATTATTTATTTTGTTTCAATAATATTGGCAGTGCCGCCAGGTTTCTCACTTTCATGAAGTTATTGAAGTTTATGTGGAAATTATTACTCCTGCTAGGAATTTTATATAAATAAATAACTGTGTAAGTGCAATGCAAAAAGAAAAAAAAAATCCAGCCTGACTTGCACCAAATAAAAAGATGTATATGCAGCAACAATGAATATTCATGGAGTTACTGCACAAGATGGTTTACACTTTCCTTTCTTTTTATGGTACATAGGTGCAGTCCTTCTGTGCCGCATACAAGGAGTGGCCATTAACGTGGATCCCGTCGTGTACACTTGGCTCATCTACCAGCCCCAGAAACGGGCTGGAAGGCACATCCCACAGGTGGGTGCTCCCAGAGGGAATGCTCTGTGCAAAACTGTCTCTTAGGTTTATGCCCCTAAGATACTGTTATCCCACACATCCAGTCTTTGATGTGTTTGCTTCCATGTGTCCGTTTTATCTCATAACAATGTTATGAGAGCAGTAAGCAAAATTGAGTTAGTAATTTATCTGGGACTACAACTGCATTACAGGGCAAAGCCAAAGCTGTATGTCCTTCTCATACCTGCTGTCTTTTCATACCTTCCCTTCCTCCGATTTATGTGTCTTTGAATATTATATATTCTGTGATTCTCACACATATAATGCCAGTTTGGCAGTGCTACAACATTTTATATGTATCKTTACTGAAAGAAACACTTCTATATAATGTACCTGTGATGGCATAGTTTAGTGTACAAGCATGAAAAGTGTCATAACCTAAATAACTTAGCAGAAATGGGATAGCACAGAAGTAAAGAAGTAGCAGCAAAGAGGATTAATTGCCCAGTGAGCACTACCCCTTTTCTATGACTATTGCTAGTTCCTTGCTAGTATCCTATGCCTTCTAATACCTTGTTTTTTTGGAAGGGTGTAGCTGTACAATTAGAATGATAGTTGAGGCCATTACTCATTTKGGGCAGATTTTACTTTTTTACAATYTCTTCCGTCCCTTTCCCGAGTTGGTCATTTGGTACAGTTAGTTTATAAATTCTTTAATGTTGCTTATGTAATGTACAATACAGTGAGCCATTCATCTGGATTGATTCTTTGATGGCATCTAGAAAATATGATTAGTAATACAAGCAAATTTTTAAAATCTTAAACATCGGAAGGAGAAAGAAACTTTTTAAATAAAGAGACAAGTTTGGGCCAATAATCAATGAAWATAAATAGGTCATTAATATACTCAGGCTAGAATGAGATATTTTTAAGTTCTATATCATAAGGCTATCGTTCATTTTTTTGCTCCTTCTAGTCTTGTTAGGAAGCAAATTTCTAACTGTGCTGACATGGAATTTTTTATCTTTAGGAATTACATTATGTAGCATAACTGTTGGAGGGAGAAGGGGCTTAATTTTTGTCTTGAGAAAAGTTAGAATAGAAAATGCATTTAATAGCCTTCTACGTAAGTTATGTTTCTCTAGGGTGTGCAAGTTACATCCATCATTTTTACTCACATTTACTTGAAAATAACATGAACAAATGAAGACAAATTTGGAAACAAGACCAGTCTTTTCTTAAGGCTTCTGCTTAATATTTGAATTGCAGTGGGCTATTTGGAGCCAGATGCTCTCAGTGAGTGGCACTGCAGTGCTTTTCCTTTTGGTTATAAAGTGACCATGCATGCTGAAATGTGGCTGCTGCTACATATTTTAGAAATAATTTATGTGGTTCTTGTTGTGACTATCTGGTCATGCTCGGGGGTAAAGGCAGATGTAAATATAGGATATTTTTCTCTATCCATTCTAAATTTTAACATTCCGCTGTAAATTTTCCACTGCTCTTTGTGAGGAGTGGGAACAGTGAGAACCCTGCAGTCAAAAATGCTGTGGCTGTCAGTGTTTGAATACATCTGCCTACTGCTTTTGAGTTTCCCTGCTAGTGATATATGGTCCCGTTGTCAAGTTTCTTTGCAGAGCTGTAGGCGTTGTGTAAAATTGATGGACGTGTCCATCGTCCTGCTCTAACTGGTGATGCTGAACGTGGCCAGTGTCATCCTAGTGGCTATTCCTGCATTAGTAACATTGAAGAGCAGCGCATCTTGAATGTGAAATGTAACTCAGCCAAAATGAAAGAGCAAACTCATGTATACCCCCCCAAAACTCTTACGTGCTTTTGATGTGCTTGTTCTCATGTGTTCTTTCCAGCTTTTTATTTTTCCTTTTAATTTTACATAAGTGATTTTGGCAATATTAATAAAGAAAAGTGTATTTTCTGAAAGCTTCTTTTAGGAAGGTCTGTTGTCGAGCTGTGATGTAGAATGTGCAGCTTGTTCATTTAAAAGTTGGTATGGCAAAGAAGAGGTTCCTTAGGATTGTATTAGTCAGGAATGGAATTAAAATGTCCCTTGGAACAGAGCTTGAAGTGATCTCTTAGTTTTCTTGTATGAAAGCAGTAAAATACATTTTTTTAATACAGTAACTTGTACGAGATCTTGGTCCATAATAAATGTTGTGTATAGATAATAAGTGCAGTAATAAGGAGCCCAGGGGTTTGCTGGCTTGAAATCAGTGCATACTCCCATAGGCCCCAAAATATTTCAGAGGGCTCCTCTCTGTCTCCCTCCTGCTCCTTTTCAGTTCTAGGCTGAAGTGACCACAGGAAGTTGGGTTCAGTCAGATTGCATAGCATTCATATGTGTTTTTCAAAACTTTTAAATTTTTAAACTTTTAAATTATTTTCATTATCTAACAGCATTGAAAAACGTATGAACACAGAGAGAATGCAATCATTTAGTATGAGAAAAAGGAAAAAAAAATAATTGGTAGCAGAGACAGGATGATGCAAGAAAAAGACATTTGTTATCATGAGAGTATTTCCAGCTCATCATCAGCTGATGATCTTTCCAGATCCTCAGTGTATTATATACTGCTATGTCAGGAAAAGACAAAGGAAAATAATTCATCTGAGTTTAAATTCTTGTGTATTCTACACAATTGGCAGGTCACTTGGCCATTTTGGTGGCAAGTTTGCCCCTTCATAGCTGAAAGKTTTGGAGCAGAGCATTGGAGCATTTACTACATAAGTGATAGTAGCTTCAAGTTAAAAACTGATCTTTAAAATGCTCTAATTTTGACTCTTGGCATGAGATCCCTTAGAAATGTGGTTTAATTCGCACGTTCTGAACATCASGCCTCTTAGGATACACATGCCCTAGTGTAAGTTTAAAAAAGAAACAACCAGAACTTGCTACTTTTGTAAAGGGCTTAAAAAGAGTAACTCTCTGTTGTAGGATCTGCACTGGAATCTGGTAATGCTCATGGTTAATGGGTTCATTGTCAGTTTAAAGAAAAAGACTTTTCCTGGTTTGCTCTCCTTTCAATCCAAACTTACAGAATAGGGAAAAGACAGCCTGGAAAATTTGCTCGATGGTGAATTTTATGTACTGATGGCTGGTGTACTAAAATACTTCATGACKCTGAAGAAATGGAAAGACTAAGGCTTAAGGATGTCAGTGTTTCTTAAGGTTATTATTATATTTGACACATTGGGGTAAACTTTGAAAAAAAAAGTCGTGATCTTTTGCCTGCATGATTCTCATCAARTTTCATCAGAAAAGGCCACCACTGGCTTTGAAAATATACCCCATCGTGGGTTTTCTGTGCTTTTCAGCCCTACGTTTTGAGGAGCAATGCATCCAGAATAAGGCAGACAAAAACAGAATTACTGTGCTTTGTATGCAGTCCTTGTGACTGCTCAGAAGGAAAGTTAGCATGTACCACAACACACTGCACTCCAGCCATCTGTTCCCCATAAAAAAGACATATTTTACATTATTTGGGTATTAAAAATCATCACATTTTTTGTTTCCGTGAATTTGTGATACTTTTCTGAAATATGCTGAAATAATGCTTTTGTTACCACCATTTTTTGTTTAGTAACTGATAGGGGAAGAAATCTGCTTCTCCATGAAGTAGGAGAAGAAAATTCAAAGGATATCTTCTGTTTGATCACTGATGAATCAGTGCTAGATTTTAAACAAAATTTAAACTGACAGATTGAACACAATTTAGATTGAACGCAAGGAGGTTTAAACTGTATATATAGAGAGAATTCCTGTCCATATGATTTTTACTGCAAGTGAATTTACTGCCTTCTCATCAAAAAGCAAAAAAAAAAAAAAAAAAAAAAAAAAAAAAAAAAAAAAAAAANTTTTTTTGGAGAAAAGGTCAAATGAGGCTTTCTACATTTTTGTGAACCAGCATTATTTTTGTCAAATATTTACTCTTTTATTAAAACCCTCATTTAGCATTCCATAGATAATTATTTAAAGAAGTTGATTTCTTTGGCAAGAAATCGCATGTGGCATATGTTGATGTGAGGGAATCAGGTACATGATACTGCTTCCAGTGAAAATAGAAATGTATGCATGTAATCATGTTTTTCTCAAAAGCCCAAGAGTCGAGAGCCTAGCACTAGTTGTCAGTATTTTACTCACATTAATTATTTCACCTTTAGTTTATTATTTCATTGAAGACTAATGCTGACAAAACTGTGTTCTTGCACCTGATGTTTGTGTATTTATATGTGTGTGAATGTGTATTTCTGTCATTTTCTGTGGTTGCTCTGTATGCACATGTGTTATTATCTAATTTGATAAGTATTTCAGTAATGGAATAAACCTAAAAACACAGAGCACTGCTAGTTGTATCTGGGAATGACTGTGGATGAGACATTTTCCATATTCATCAGGTTTTAATATGTAAGGTATATCATATCATATATCGTATGTAATATAGTCTGGATGATTCCAGAATTTCTCCCGTCTTTTCATCAATATCTGCATTGTGGAAAATTATTTCCTTCCACTTATTATAACTTCCTTCCAGTTATTTCCTTCAACTCTTTTCTTTCCCTGTCTTCTTTCTCTCTTTATATATATATATTTTTTTTGATTGTGTATTTGCTGCTTGCAGTTGAGGCAAACGCCTGTGCAGAAATCAGTCCATGTGCAGGCAGCAGCCCTGCTAGAAGGTGGCTGCTTTGGGCTTAGTTTTAAAGATGGCAAAGATGGCTTCAGAACTGAGTTCAACATTTCACAATCTAGTGTGTCGTTTTTTTTTCTCCTGTAGTAATAAGGCTTTATCCTTATTACTTTATCCTTCAAGATTTCCTATCTTGAAATGTTCATTTGCCTTTCCTGCCTTATCAGTGAGGTGACTACCAGGCATCTCTCACTTTGGGTGATGTTTGTTCATGTTTTTGTCACTTRGAACAGTTGTACTTTAACCATTAATGGCAGAGCTGATAGTAACTCATATATTACTGATTATTCCTATATAAGTTGCTTAGTATTTTCCAGTAAAATCCTTTTTGGAGAAACCCTTAGTATTTTCCTTAGTAGGAAATCTTTAGTATTTCCTTAGGAGGAGGAATCCTTAGTATTTTCCAGTAAAATCCTTTTTTGACCGACAGAGAAGCCTCCCTTTCTTTACAGTACTCCTCAGTATAAAATGACCTCTTCCAAAAGTTGCTGTCCTTCCCTAGCTGTTTCATTAAGTGTTCCTTGTTTACCTTCTTTGTAACACTAMCAGTTAATAGCCATAAGGCTCTCAGACCAGTAAGGTGTTTTAAGCTTTAGTGCATATTGCTTATCTGCAGCTTTTTTGATTGTTGTGATAAMTGCTTACGATAACGCTTGACTGCGATGTCTCTTTTCCCATCAGATTCATTTTCTCATACAGCTGTGGTGCTCTTGTCATCTGCTATTTCCCAAGCCACAGTTTCCTCATCAGTTTGTGGCCAGAACCCAGATCTTGATGATCCTTTTCCATCCAGTTCAACATTGATCTTTCATCTTGTGCATTCTTTGAACCAGAAGTCTTTTGCCAAAAACCTGACAAGATTGTACTGGGCGTCATCAACAGCAACAGCAGGCTTGATTTCAGTGAGCAAAGATGAAACAGCTGTTTCATTGTCCAGATCAGCACTCAAGCACTCAATATTTAGTCATAATTTTTTCCAGCTTCGCTTGGCTGTGATAGCCTTGATGTTTTTCTCTATATGACTAATGGTGTAACTTATTATTATATGTTTCTGCTCCATTTCTTCAGTGATTCTGAAGTAGATATTGTTTCTTCAGACAATATTTTCTATCTTAACATCTTTTTTACTGTCCTGTATTACCTCTTAACTTGACWGAAACTCTTCCTTCAGTTTGGCAAGTCATATTCTTGTCGTGTCRCATCTAAAAATGCCATCTCATGGGTCAGCAGTTGCTCTGGGGGTAAAACTGCAGATGGCTTTGCTGTATGAAAAGTTGTATCAGATAAACTGCTAGATTTTGAAAACAAGTGGCATAATGACCAAAATTTTAAAACCTTTACTTCAGTCTCTCTGTACACACCTAGGGAGGTAGTTTTATGCCATCAAACTTGTCTTTTTAAAGCTGCTGGGATTTATCTATTATTGCTAGAGGACAGCAGAGGGACATGTTACTCTCTTGCAAAATATCTTTTTAGGACTTCTGGAGWCAAAGCTGATGACTGTGCATTCAAAGAGGAGAAATTAGAGTTTTATCTGTTATTGGCCTGTTATATCTGTTATATTTCGCCTTTATTTTGTATATTGTTGTATATACAAGTGAATTGATTTCACTGAAAGAGGATTAAATAGATGAGCATCCTTCGTAGTTAAATTTATTTTTGTAGTGGAAGATGGTGAAGCCTTTTGGAAGTCATCCTTTGTGAAATATATGTTGTTTGTTTGGGGGCTTGGGGTGTGTGCACTGTTTGCTTCAGTAATCTGCTTTCCATTGGAGAGCATCAGCGAGCTCATTGCCTGCCTCGCACAAATTCGTTTCCCACAGAGATTCCGAACGCAATGTGTGAGGTTTCTCATTACCCAGCTATATGGATTACATTTTCACTCCAATAGGAACAAAATTCAATCACACAAAAATGTGTTCATATATGTCACCCTAATGTCTGATCTTCAGAAGAAATTTTGTCATCCTTAAAAGATAACCCTGTGCAAAATCAGCACTAGAAATGCTGTCTGTTAGAAGGCTAGAACTGCTGTCAGCTGACATACATCTGCAGTTCCATGTCAGCTAATGCTGCAGCAAAAAGTCACCAGCAGCTCTGCAGCAGGCTATTTTTTTTTCCTAAAGATTCTGTCTTTTCTAACTTGTGTTAATAAGAAAGTAACAATAAAACCAATAGATTTTTGGACATGCACAGCTGAATGCTTTTTGCTTAATGGGAATTAACGCTTTCCTCTGTTTTCTAGTTTTTAAAACAAGGATGCAGTCCTTTGGGCTAGTTTTTAATGCTTTTACATTGGTTGAATGGTGTCGTGGTTTAAATAGTTTGAGTGCTTCAGAGATGCTTAGGAGAAAAATATAATATAAAGTTAGAAATGGTCACAATCTGGCTACGCATTTCTTTTTCTCTCAAAAATGAAACACAAATATAGCAATGCATGAAAAACACTTTTTTTTTCTAAGCTGAATTAAGATTAATAAATTTCTCTGTAAAACCCTGGATTCTTCGTATCTGTCTGATGTTCCTTATTTTCCACTAGGCATCTAGATCCTCCAGATWTATTCATATGCATTTTGTTTGTTTAACAAACATGGTGTTTTCAGTTGATAAATTCCATTTCCCTTTTTTTTTTTTGTAATTTCCTTCAGACTATCAGAAGCCAAAATAAAAAAAAMCTGTAAGCTCAAATCTCAATATCGTGTTGCAGCTGTTTAGCAAAGAAGCTGTAAAAAGTTATTTTTGTAATGTACATGCTCTAATCACAGTCTCAAATTATCTCTAGAAATTCTGACAGAAGCACATGCTGCTCACAGTGTTGTAATAATTCCTTCATGTGTAGGTTTGCTTTGGTTTTCAGTTTGTCACGAGGCACTTCTTTCTCCCGCAGTCCGTAGGAGCTGTTCCTCTTGGCGTGTCAGTACCTCGAAAAAAAGAGGATGAAGCATCAGTTGGAAGTGCCCCCTTGGCAAGGCAGCCGTCGAATCAAGCCTCTGAGTACGCCAGCAGCCCTGTCAAAACAAAGACCGTAACAGGTAGGGCCACTTTTTCATTGAATCTGGCCATTCTGCCTCTCTCAATAACATGCAACACTAGCACTTTCTGATGTAAGCAAATATTTTCTTGGAAAAATACAATTTCTTTCATTAGAAATCATCAGGTTTTTAATTTGAAAAYGTGGAATGTTTAATTTTCATCTCAGATTTGTTTTTTGTTACTACTTGGAGTCTAGATTATTTCAGATAACGTGTTTTGCAAGACTAGATGAGAGAGACGTGTTTTCAATAGAATATCAGCAATTTGTCTTGATGTATTATATTTTAGTCCAGAATTTTGTCAGACTTYAGGCACTGAGTAATCCCCTTCATCTCAGTCAGGCTCTTCACACTGCTGAAATTCTGGCACGTATGCAAGGCATTCAGAGCTAAGATTCGTGCATAAACATTCACGGGGTTCAAAATCACTTTCTCATAGAATTTTGTTGTTGTTGCCATTTTCTTTTCTGGAGTTTAAACAATTTGTAAATTTAGGAATATTCTCTGGCCACTTCTGAGTGCTAAAGCTAAATTTTGTTATTCCTAATCAAGATGATGTGGCATCCTGGGATTTCTCTAGGAATTTAATCAGAGAGTACTGCCTGCAAGTAGTATAGTAGGATATCTTCCAGCAGAAGTGACTATCCAGCTGAGACTCTTAGTAATCCTTCTGAAATACACTGAACAWATTCTCTTTTCCTTTGCATTGATGTTTATTTCCAGATAGTCGTGAAGTATTTCAAGATGTTGTCTGCTGAAACGGGGATTAGAATCTCATCCACTTCTGGTAGAGTGTAATTGCTATTTTGAGATAGGAAGGGTTAAGGACAGATAATCTTTTACCTGAATATTATGTGTGATCCAATGTTATAATTCTTAATAAAATAAGAGAAAGAATAAGAGAAAGAAGTCTTTGAAATTAGTCTGTTTCATTTAAGAATATCCTTTATTTTATGTGGAAATGTTATGAAATAACTATGTTCTTTTGTTATTAATTAGACTTAGCATTTATAGTTCTGACCTGCCAGTATCATAAACAGTATATTTTGCTTGCAGATATTTGCGTCTTTTTCTGGCTAAGTATACCCATCCCTATCAACAAATCACAAAGCTATAAGTCATTGCAGAAACTTGCATGATTTTCAATGTTTTACTGTAAAATAGGGTTGAAAGTGTATAAATGTAAGGGAAGGAGAAGAGGGAGAAAATTACTTTTTGGTTAGTGTTCTTTAAAAAAGTATATTTCTAAGGAATAAAATGCATTCATCATCTYTAATATTTTTTGTCATGCGAAAGCCTAAACTGAGGAGCTCTTTAGATTTAAAATTTAAATACCAAAGGTTTTTTCTTGACTCAGGTGAAGAAGGAAGTTGGTTGCTTTTTGGAGTTACTTCAGGATGTTACGTGATAATATGGAGGGGTATRTTGCTGTTAAAGTTCGTTCTTTCATTCATGAGGAAGCCACAGTGGATTGAAGTAATGTAATAATATGAGTCACAGCAGATCTGGAATYGATTAATATGAACTTCCGAGGTACCATCTGTGCCATCTGATTATATATGTCTTGCTTAAAAAATTAGGTAGAGTGGAACAATTATATAAATCAGTGCATTTACACTTAATGCAGTAAAAATGATTTTTTTGGGGAAGTAGTTGGGTAAAAACACGATGTTCATCATTGAGCAGAAGTAGGATTTAAAATCTGAAATTTATGAAAAGTTAAGAAAAGCTAGAAGTGATGAAAGAAGTCACCTCTATCATTTCCTTTAAGTCTTTCTTTGAATACTGTCCATAATGCAATGCCTTTAAGAAATCAGCCTGTTAGGGTTGCTGTCATTTTTCTCTATATCTAGATACAAAACAGAAAGTGTCTAATGAAAAATAATGAGCATGTAGTTTTGATAAATGTAAAGGTATATATTTCTTCCATTTTCTCATCTCAATTATTACATAATAATTATAGTTTTGTTTGTTTTTGAGCACAAGAATCAGTGTGTTTATTCAGGGCCTAACATAATTATATTACTGCTGTAACAACTTATGGTTAGGGAAGCAACTTTGTATGAATAGCAAATGACAACCTCTTTGAATATTCTCCTTTTGTTCCCTCATGCTTACTTTGTTTATTTTAGGAAGGGGAAGGAGGAATTTATGTAGAGTCAAGTGCAAAGCTGTTCGTTGAGATTTCAGGAGAAAAGAGTGAAAAATGATGTGGCCAAGGTCAATGAGAACAATGAAACAAACAGATGAGGCTAAGGAGCATTTTGCTATGAAATGCAGAAGCAAAAACAGTGATAAAGAATTCTCAGTAAATTTTCGTATGCTATTTTTTAATCTTTCTTAAGATTTATTTTGCAGAATTTTGCAGATTTGATACAGAAAGGATGACTTTTTATAACTAACTCCAAGGTTCAGATTTTGAATTCTGATATTCTGAATTCTGATATTTGAATTTTTGAATTTTGAACTCAGATTTGCGTTCTGAATTGCACCTATGTAAACTCATGTTTATCCTTAGTGGCTGCTTGCAAGCAGAGGTGCTAGAATAACACATTCTAGTCACCACCTTATACAAGTAGGTATGCAGATTCCTCATCAGCCTGGTAGCCAGTTTTGATCTTCAGCCTGCTTTATTCTTCACTTTTAGGACTAGCTTTCCTATAGTAATGATCAAAAAATATCTAGTAAAAAATACGATTGCTCAAAATGTAGGGTCTTTTGCTAACACTACTTTTCACTTTATGGCCTTTCTTTTAATTTCACCTACTGTCCAAGATTTCTTTCATTTTCTGGCTTAACTTTTTAAAACTAGCAGTAAAAAACACTCAAATTATAGGTTTAGCATTTTGCTATACCAAATGCCAGAAGCKCTAGAGAAGGCAGGAATAATTGGAAGCCTTGTATCTCTTCACCGTCAAAGCTAGCTAGGGGTAACCTAATTTTTCTGAAGGCTGCAATTCCTGCATTGATAGCAGGCATGTATGTCCAGTTGTTGCAGATTGAAAGAGATTAGGTCTTAAAATCACAGTGTTCAGGTAATGATCTCGAATTTATCCTTTTCAGATCCCCTGGGATCTTAGGAGCCCCTCTCTTGAGAACAACTGGAAGGCAGCCCCTTATATTAAATGGAAGCAGTTTGGAATTACAGCTGGCAGATGATTTAAAACATTGATCTTTGGTTCAGTTTATTAGTTAGTTAATGGCTGCTGAGACCATGCCAAAAAAAAGCATGGGAAAAGAGCAAAACTGCTATTTATATGGTGTCTGTCTGCAAATAGAATGAAAATCCACGGTTTCTGGTCTTAAGTTTCTAACTGTGGTTATTTATAAACCTCCTTCAAATCCCCTTCCTCAGACTCTTCAAAACCCCAGTAAGATAAGAGAATACACTGGTTTAAGTTTTGTATGCTGTGGCCGTAGACAAACAAAATGATAGGGGAAGAAGAGCTCTTTCCTTTTTTCCTGGCTCTTTCCTTTTCCAAAGATGATCCTAATAAAGCCTCTGACCTCCTTCACCAACCAGTCTTGTCTCCTTGGAGGCCTCTTTTATTCAGCTCTCCCCCTTCCTACACTGAAGCATTACAGAAAAGACTTTTGAGAAATAGATAAAGACTATATATAAAGACTATAAATGGAGGAATTTACCTCAGTCCCTTCATCCACCCACTGCTTCTGCTCCCGTTCTCAGCAGTTCAGGAGGTCTCTACAGGACCTCAATGAAAAATGATCAGCAAGCTGATAGGCCAGGAAGCACAGCTCTTAGCACACTGGCAAAGAGATCATTTTAATGTATGTACGGTATACATAGCATACCTGAACAGGAAACTAGTAAATTTTGATATACTGCTCTGTGGAACTTTGATTCCTGAGGAGATATAATGAAAATGATTACATTTTCATAAGCGCTAAGATACACCTAGTTTAGTACTGATTTATACCTCATGGAGAAGGTGGTGCTAGCATAGCGTGACAGTTTAAAGTCATGCTCAGTCCTGTATGGCCTCTATCTTTAGTCTCYCCTGTATAATTTGCCTGCTTAGCTTTTTTTTTCACAAAAATTGTTTCACTGAGTGCTGAGAAACCTATGCTATCAAAGTTGATTTCTATTGATTAGTAAAGCCAAAAGGAGTTAAAAAGGATGAGCAAATCAGTGCATGCACGTGCACAGAGCATAGGATTGCATAAGTCTTATTTCCTTAGGATACCTGCTTGAAAAGGCCCYCGTTTTTCCTTTCCTTCCCCTTGCTAACACTTAATAACACAGGTCTAATTACATGCTGATATGGATCCTGATCCTAAAGGCAAGTTGATCTGTTAATGGGTAGTGGGCAGGAGCTCCAGTCGAGACCAGGAAAAGCCCMCACCTTTAGACCAGCTTCCCCAGTCGTTGCCGGGGGTCAGTGAAACCGGCCTCAGCCAAATCGTTACTGCAGAGGCCTAAGTATTTACTTCAGATATTCCATTTTCAGTACATTACAGCCCACTAAATGTATGTTACATTTGATAGCTATTAGTAAAATGAAGAAATGATTCAACGACTTTGTTTTACTACCCCTGTAGAGTAATAGATGCCAGTGCTCAGGACAATCTTGTGCTCTCTGAGTTTTCCTAGGCAGTCGGCTACTCGGTGAAGCTGGTTCTCTGCTACTGATATTAAGTGAAATTACGTCTTAAGCTAATAAACATTCTGTTCACTACAGTGTGGCAGGACACAGTAAAAACTGAATGTGGTGACCGAGGGTGTTTTTCTAAAATACAGTGAGAATGTTGAACCAGATTCCTGCTAAAAATGAACCCTTGGAATGCAGAAAACTGGCAACTGCGCGAGAAGTCTGGCTTGTGAGAAATCAGTGGATTATCTGAAGTATTTGAGTCAGTAGATCTCTCTTKCTGCTCAATGAACTGAATGATTATCGTTTATTCATGCCTGCCATGAAATGTATGACTGATACGTTTGGGAAGGTGAATAAAATGAAATAGACACTAAATAGGCAAAGTAA